GATCTCCCTAGCTATAAACCTCGTTTTTTTTTACTTACTAACTCACTGAATCACTGACTGTCTGTCACTTTATCTAGATTACCCCTGCACTTCTGTCCTTTTCTTGGAATTCGTCTCAGAGCCTGCAGATGGCAGGGCTAGTATCTATTTGTTGTTGCGCGGATGGCAGGTTGATGTCTTTAGGCAGGCCTTCGCCCTCTCTTCTGCTCATTGTTCTGTTCTGGAGGGTCTGAAAGTGGTATGGCTCGTGTCTATCTGTCGTTGCAATCATGGTAGGTTTGCGTCTTTTAGGAAGGCCTTCGGCCTACTGCTCTATCCACTTGTCTTATTGTCAAGACTTGGCAGCGCTAGTATCTATTTCTCGTCGCAAGGGTGGTCGGCGCATGTCTTTAAGAAGAACCTTTGGCCTGATAACGTGTCCACTGCTCTTCTTCACCTTGCCTTCCTCTTTTTCACTCCTCATTGTGATTTTTCTGAAGGCTCTGAATGTGGAAGGGGTAGTACCAATCTGTCGTTGCAAGGGCCGTAGGTTTATGTCTTTTAGGGGGGCCTTCGCCCTATAGTACACTTCTCTTTCACTTTATCTTCCTCTGAAGGCTGTACATGTGATAGGACTAGTACCTGTTTGTCATTGCAAGGCTGGTAGGCGCATGTCTTTTAGGAAGGCCTTCGGCCCGGGAGCTCACGGCCGCCCATGCTCCTGTTCCAGGTACGCCACTGGTCAAAGACTTGCCCCAAGCCCAGTTGCCCGGCGTCACCCGCTGTGCACCTGAGCTGAAGCGCGTAGAGCTCCTGAGGAACCACGTCGGAGGCCACCTTAAAGTTCGTGTAAGCTGCCACCAGCAGCAGGTCCATGCGATCCTGGTGCCGGTAGTAGTAGTCCCAAGCTTCGTTGGGAGCCACATCAGGAGGCAGCACGACACCTCGGCTATTCCACAGACCGAGCCAGGGGAACTTGAACCCGCCAAGATGGGCTGCGCAGCGCTGGCAAACATTGACGCAGCACGGCATCTTCGGCAAAGGGGGGAAAAGATCTGAATCGGTTCCTGTTGCCAAAACGTAGGGGGAGTGGCAAACTTCAACCCTGTGCATCCAATAGGTGTAGGCTTGCGGATCTGACCCAGCCCTTGCCAGCCTCTCCACGTGCTGTTTGAACTCCACACAAAGGCAGCCGCATGAAGGATCTTCGCCTCGGTGGCTGCTGGGATATCTATCCCTGGGAGTTTGCGCTGCATACAGTTCACCCCTTGTTACCACCCAGGTCACCCCTGGAATCAATCAAGGTCTAGGAAGGTCACCCCTTACCAAGACCAAGAAAGAAAAAGCAATGAATGCTATTTTGGGTCAACTCCCTTGAGCCAAAATGATAGCATTATTGAATCACTTAAAGATGATACATGCACACCCAAGCCTGCCAAACTCAATGCATGGGTATATATATATATATATAGGGAGGAACCATCAACATACACTGTGTATGTCTTTTTTCCTGGCCGAAATATACTCATTCACTAAATGAGGCCTGGGGTGTGGATGATTTCCCTTAGCACTAGTCCAGGTCACAGTGTGGTGCAAACATAATCCAGATACATTGTTTTCCCGACCGAAGTAGACCATGAATAGATGGATTTGGGCTTCACAGTTCAGGACATCGAGTGGCTCACAGTTTGGGATTCCGGAGCTGATCCTTTCATCTGGGGAGATTGGAATCGTTCGCAAATCTAAAAAAGGCCATTTGAGCACAGTTTGAAACCCTGCCTTGTCCCTTTATATGGTTAGTTCCGGTTAGTTGATAGGGTTTCCCCTAATGGATTATGATATGGTTTCCCCTAGTTTGAAACCCTTTCCCCATGATATAACGGTTGGTATAGTCCCCCAACCAATCAGCAACCAACGGGGATTTTTTTCACACGGCCCATTTGGGGATGGTTAACTGGTAGCGGAAACTGGTCGTCGGCTCATAATTGTTTCATACCCTGCAAGCTGGGGCCCGCGCAATGCATAATTCCAATAACTGTTCAGTTTGTGTTAGTTCTTTCGACATATGTCGACATACATTGACATGGCTTGTCCTGGACCTTCCAAATCCTAGGTATTTCACGTAATTCTAGGAAGTGACTTTTTTTTGCGAAAAACGATGTCAAATGGATCAAAACTCCTATCATTTGACTCAATTTCCTTGAAATTCATCCAAAACCAATGAGTTGTGGATGTCGCAGGCTACAAGGTTTCTGCATGACATAGTTTTATTTTCAGTTTGTGACGTTCACAAACATCAAGAATGACCCTTAAAACATCTTAAAACTCTCGCAAAAAAGTGTCAAACTCCCGCGAATCCCGAAAAGTCATACAATCAAATTGTCTAAACCCACCTGATCACATCAGATGACTGCAAATCGTATGACAAATGCAGGGTCACTGAGAAATTCACTGCAATTCCTGAAATTCTGAACTTTACTAGAAAGCAAGAAATGATAGAAATTTCTCGGAGGATGCTCCAGGATAGGATAAATCAACTTAGATCGTTTTGCGGGCCCTTGACTAAGCTTAGTGCGTCGGCTAGTATCTGGCTATTGCCATCGATATAGTTCATGATATTGCATGAGTACCATGTTATCACCGTTTCATTACCGCATGCTATTATCATGGTCAATTGCATGTCACAGTACGACACGATACACGTCTCTTGTCCCACGATGGCCAAAGCACCCATGACTGCAGGCACGTGCAAAGACTGAGACTGGCGCACCTCACCATTTCAAGGGTTTTCCCCTTGCGCTTTTGCGCTTTAAGTTTTCGACGTTTTGCCAGACACATCATCAGGTACCATTTGATTCAAGTTGAACCCGATCCTAGAATTCCTACTACCTTTTCCATACGTTTTTCCTCACCTGCTTGGTGAAGGTCTCTAGATTTTAACAAGATATCCCACTCATTCTCCCGTACTCACTCACTCCCTGACTTGCCAGCTTCCTTGCCATGTCAATCTCTTGCGAGCTCACCCGCGCACTATGACGAGCTCGCCGGCTCTCAGGATCGCACCGGTTCCCGCGCTCTGGGCCCGGCCGAGGCAGAATGTTAAGATGTCAAATAGAAGCCCAGTTCATCAGGTAGGACGCTGAGTAGAATGTCAGATAGACTGCCAGATAACATGAAGAGTAAAATGTCAGATAGAATGCCAGATCAAATGCCAGATACGATGCCTGATAAAATTTTAGATGGGTTGCCAGACAAAATGTCAGAAAGTCTGCCATACTAAAATGACAGATAGAATGTCAGAAGATATCTTATGTCAGACAGGATGCCAAATAGAATGCCAGATGCAATAGTGGGCAAGATGTCAGGTAGAATGCCAGATCAAATGTCAGATAGGATGCCAGATAAAATGTCAGATAGAATGTCAGAATATATTTTATGTCAGGCAGGATGCCAAATAGAATGCCAGATACAATAGTGGATAAGATGTCAGATAGAATGCCAGATACGATGTCAAATACAATGTCAGATAGACTGCCAAATAAAATGCAGAGTAAAATGTCAGATAGACTGCCAGATAAAATGTCAGATAGACTGCCATATAAAATGTCAGATAGAGTACCAGAATATATTTTATGTCAGACAGTTTGCCAAATAGAATACCAGATACAATATACTGGATAAGATGTCAGATAGAATGCCAGATAAAATGTCAGATAAAATGTCAGAGTAGATGCCACGGTTTGGGATCACTCGAAGAGAGTATAATTTATTGATCCATTTAGATGTGACTGGCTCAATGTCTGTCAACTGCCACTATCACCGCCACCGACTTCCACAAGCCGAGCGTTGTTGCCCTTTCAGCTCAAACGGCCAAGATTTGTTGAGACCGCGAACACACTACCAGTTGCTGTCGGACCCATGAGCTTTCATTAATTTTAAACCATCAACCATCACTGCATACCCGTGGCCACGCGCACAGGGTAGCAAAGACAGACTGTCAGCACCACCGTTTAGGCTCACTGGCAGCCCTGTCCAACTGGCCAAAATCAGAGGCTATGACAACTGGGCAAAAGAATCTAGTAAATGTCGATGCGTCATGTGTAGCATGCATGGATTCTCAGACTTATTTTTCATTCATTGACGGTTGACCGCAGGGTCTGTGCTTGAAAGCATCATGTGGGTTTGTCTCAAAATAGTGTACCCTGAAATCCAGTGGTTAATCATCATTTTCCCATTGAACCGCCATTCGGGGGGCAGACAAACCCATGGCCCGTGTTTCCCGTAATAGACGGGAAACAAAGCTGAAGCAGTTCACAAAAAGTTTGGAAGAATCGACGAGCAAACCAGCAAAGCTTCACCAAGAAATTGCGCTCCACACTCCAAGAAATCTCATCTGGGAGGCACATCAAGTGACAAAGTGTAACTACATTGCTCTTCCTTTTTGGTTCAAAAAGTTTTGCACTGTGTGCGATAAGGGGCTTTAATTCAAATTGCATGGTGCAGAAGTTCCGATTCATCCAAGAATTTATCCCAGCAACATGCGTTTAACAGGAATAGATTCTGAAAAACGATCTGTTTCAAACAGAACCTTCCGAATTTCCTTGACACCAAGGCGGGTGTAAAACCAGTCACCGACCGGTCCGTGCCATGTTCGAAATGTTTTCGGGGAAACATATTGGAACCATCTGAGGTTTGGGAAATCGTTACGCCATTGTTTCTGAAGTGTGGATCAGCAATCTGCGTCCTTTGCTGCGCTCAAATCATCATCGCCCTTTTAAAATGGAACTGATCTGCAACCCCTGAGCGCATAATCATAAACGGCTAGGGAACACAGACTTGATCGGCCTCAAAATCTGGCCCCTTCAAAGGGTAGCGTCTTAATAAAGTTCGCTCGCTACTGTGGTGTACCAGCCGATGTTTATCGTTTTATATATAGGTAAAATAACTATATCTGGTTTGACTTGGCTATAGATCCGTCACGAATTAACATCCATCATCCAAACATGCTCCAAACGTCACCAAAAGATCTCCGGATTCATATCAATCAGCCTTGGCTTTGACGTACACCACCTGGGATTTACAAATGGACCCCTTTCAGTATTCGCACATCTTTGGCCCGAGCATCTTCAATTGCCTGTCTCGCCATAGACGACTGGCAACTAGGTGGTCCCATGGAATTCGATGGAATTCTATGAATCTCCACATTTATTTTGGGTTTTTAAGATATAGCAACCACCAAAAGGGAAAACCATGGAAAACCTATACAAAAATAGTGATCAGTTTAATGCTAAGTTTGATGATAAATGGTGTTTGATGGTGTTTGTCTATATTTCTTCGACCTTACATGCCATTACAATCCGGACATAGCAAATCATGAAATCCCAAAAGGCCCAGTTGCGCGCCTGCCGAGCCTTCTTTCCGCGCTTGCCACCATGGAAATGGCAAAAGTCGCATAGCACGCCTTTCGCACAGTAGCGATTCGGAGGCTTGTGATAGCCTCAGCTGCGATGAACCGAGGATGTTAACACCAGACATGACTAACTGGTGGATTTTTTTTGATTTCTCTGAAAAAAGTGAATCAACTGGGTTCCAGAACCACCAAAACCACCAGTTAACCACCGGTTGAAAAGGGGAAACAAAAACAACCATCGAAGCTTTAGCGTCACAAATGCGTCACAATATGCCAAATAGGCAGGTCAGCCAGAAAGCATCGAACACAATGCTGCATAGAAGACAATTGTCAAACTCAAAAAACCGGTGCCAAGGGACTACAGATCAAACACAAAGAATTGACACCATCCCCGACATGTAATGCGCTGCCAAAGGATAGTTGCTGTCCGTCAAGTCTGTTGGTGAGGTGTAAAGTATCCTGAGCTGAGCCGGGTGCGCCACATGGATCATTTCATGGCACACTTCTTTTCAATGGAAAAACAACACACTGTATTTACATATGGAGTTTCCTAAGTCATGGAAAACTAAAGGTATCATACAAATTATTGGTCATTATCTTTGGAAAAACCAATGGTTTGGGGTAGCCATATTTTTGGAAACCTCCATATATTGGCACCAAATGCCACTTACGTTCATACACAACAAAATTCAGCGATCGAGAAACTCGTCACAGAAAATCACCCCACTTAACATCCCAAGAATCGATGGCCATGGATCAAAACCCTGGTGCCCTACCCGAAATAGCTGGTATAGCTGGATATGTATATATTATCTAAGTAAATTATAATATTTCACTAACCTGAGTTAAGGCCATTTGGGGATGATTCCCCGCAATCTAACCATGATTCCCAGTGAGGGAGAACAGTGAGGTATAGTGAGGTCGTGATTGAAATTTACCCAGATATTATGGTGACAATTTACGTTTTGACCCATCGAATTCCCCATCCCCGTCTGGGGAATTCGATGGGAAATTGGGGAATTTTCGTTCCAAGGCACGCTCAGGACAGCGCACTCCACCGTACTTTGTCCTCACTGCGGAATTGGGGAATGGGATGATTGGAAACCAGTTATGGCTTATTGGGCGCGTCTCCCTGTGGAGCAAGAAACCTTCTGGGGACTATATATAAACTTGCAGGGTCTATATATAAACTTGAGGGGTCTTATAATAGGAACTATATATAAACCTTCTAGGGTAGGGCTTATATATAAACTTGCAAGATCTATATATATATATATACGTATTTGGGGTCTGATTATGAAATTGCCAAGTACATTTTGAGCTATAATAAAGGCACATCCCCAGTTACAATCTTATCTTGCTTCAGAAGCCCAATTCCCAACAAGCTAATCACTTGTAGTGTAGCATTGCAACACGAATCGTGCATTACTGCATTGCTAAGATAAAGCCCGCTGCGTGTCCCCAGCCAGAAGCATTCCTGCTGGGCCTCCTCTCACAATATCAAGAACATTTGCCAACCAAAAACCATACCAAAAACCAGACATGTTGGAAGAACTCTTATGTCTGTTACCTTAGACCATGTTGCAAGTCATGCACGGCGCCAGACCACAAGTCCCAACATGGAAAGACGTGCAGGATGATGTTTGGTCGCCCCATTCTGGCATGAAGCAAAGAGTAAATGTACCACTAACCGCAAGAAAAAGGGCACCAAAAAATTGAACCCAAGACTTTGGATTTTGTTGCTTTTCTTGCTCGGAAGAATTTATCCTATCCCAGTCCAAGGGAAAAAAGTCAAATTGCAGAAACTGTTCAAAAGCGAATGTGGATGTGGCATGCAAGCACTTGCTTTGATTCGTGCAATCTTTCCGCTGAGTCATAGCGGCCCCATCATGCTCAAGTCATTTACTGATTCCCACAAAGAGTGATGGCAGTGTGCGGCTGAACAAAAGCAAAACATTGCCGTATGAGACCATTTGCGTGCTGATGGCGCACTTGCGTGGCATCCTGTGTGGGGCATCCTACGTCACCATGTGTTCTGAACGGGGAGGAATACATTCCGATCAAACTTAGCCTAGGCTGGGTTGGACATGGTGCTAGTGGATGGGCTTGATGATATCGTAAGATCAGAGGACTGTGGAGATCTATGAAGGATGCCGCCTCCAAGATTTTGCATTTTCCTTCAGGTTGTTGGGAGGCCAGGCGCTAAGAGCAACACCCTTGAAAATCTCCTTGAAAGACCGCCCCTGCATTTTGCCTTGGCGAATTCGCGAGTTGCCCCGTTCTCGATTTCTAGATATAGCTCCGCCTTTTTTTATAGTTCCCCCATGTTTATATATAGCGCCAATAGTTGGGGCGCGTTTTGAGTCTTAGAGCTATTTGGAGCCTTTTCAGGCTGCTGAATATACACCGTTTGAAACGGTTCCAGGGCTGTGTAAACGCAGACGCTCGGGTTTGACCCTGGTCCTCCTGCCGAAGCACGCTCGCTAATATGGCGGTGGCCAGGAATGGTTTGGCCTGCAACCTCAAATCCTAACCGCCCTCATCCTGGACTAAAAGCGGGCTGCCTCCCTTAGATAGCCAAGAACCCGTTCCATAAACCCTGATTTTGTGCATTGATACTGCCAGGAACCGCTCCGAGCTAAAATAAAGTTCGGCTTGTATAGTCAAGAACAGTTCTCAAGAACCGTTGGGAACCGAGTTGATGATGATAATGATGATGGTGATGGTGATGATGATGATGATGATGATGATGACGATGATGATGCGCACATGGAAAAAACACCAAAAACACATTTCTTTAAATATAGTCAGGAACCGCTCCTGACTATATATAAGCCGCTAGGTTATTTATAGTTCGGAAACATTCCTGGCTATATTTCAAAATGTTTATTTATAGTCAGGAACCGTTCCGAACCGTTCCTGACTATATGTAGGGCTGCGCGCGCCACATAGTACATGTTTTTCCCTCGTACGGAGGGGGGGTTGATTAATCCGATGTTGGCATTATAGTTCCAACCGCTTTATATATATATATATATGTATATATATAGCTCCACATAGCTCCCGCCAGTTTATATATAGCCCCAACCCCCTGACAGAGATAGAGGGTGAAGCACCCAATAAGTTATGGCCCTTGACCAGTTATAAGTCAATTACAACGCCGTTTATGGAACGATGACCCCATTTATAACAATTTACAACTGGTATTTCGGGCTGTAACTGTAGTTATGGACTCCGTTATGGATCATACCCCCATTCCCATTCCCATTCCCCCAGCCTGACGCGAGAGTGTCGACACCTGAGACGAATGGTGGGGTTCCTTGAGGGCACAACTTGGCAGCGGGAGATTGGATTTTTAAGCATTTTTGTTCAACAAAATACCGTCTGATAATTTAACATAGCTAGCCATGGCCCTGTTATATTTGTTTCATTATGATTTACCTCTTAAACATGTTGATTTTCCATAGCTTCGTTACCTTGCCAGAGGGTATAGGATACATATATGAATGTGTCTGAAATGGCGTATACCCTCCGAATGGCCTATCTCTCCGAATACCCTCCAGTAAGTCGCCAGTAAGTCAATGGAATTTAGGGGTGCCCTATTCTTAGACAAACCCTTATGGATACGATTATCAGTATATAATCCGTATATAATTATATATATATATACCCTCTGGTTATTTAACATAGCCATGGAAAATCCCTTATAAATGGAGGTTTTAATGGGAAAATCATCTATAAATGTGGCATTTTCCCTGGCTTTGTTAAATAACCAGAGGGTATATGAATACAATATGTGTTTGGTACATGCCCTTAAAGGGAACCCAAATCGTCGTTTGAAGTCGAATCATCCTAAAGATGCTTCTGCGTTGTTTGCAAGCCGATGTCAGAAGTTTATCGAACAACTAGGGTTTATACCCTCTGGTAAACTAACATAGCTATTGAACATGGGCCATTTAAGTGGATTTACCCATTGAAAATGGTGATTTTCCATAGCTATGTTAGTTTACCAAAGGGTATAATTATTCTAATAACTGTTGGGTTTCTGGTAAACATATTGAACAGTAACCACAAAGCACATGCTTTTGTAAGTGTGTCCAAGATGTTTATGGGGTGAAGATTCAACAAACGTAACTGGGATCTACCTTAAATGCCGATGCTTTGATTCTGGCATGTGTATTGGTGAAATCCCAATTCTTGTCTGAAAATAAGATAAAATAAGGAACTCCAAAATCCCCTTCTAGGCTATCGTTGTATGTGGCATATTCGAGTAGTATAGGTCCCCATCATACATTTATCGCCACAAATGGTTTGTTTTCGTGGATCAACAGCTGAAGCAGCAGCTGCTAGGCAAGACCTTTTTCGTCTCGCCCTTGAGCCAACTTTCGTTGGCTTGAGCCATTTTGCAATGGCAGTCACATGTCATCCTTGCGCAGTGGCCATGCTATGTTTGGTGCATGCCACCACATGTCAACTTCTAAGTTTTAAAATCCACAGCAGCTGGTGGAATGCTTCATGAATCGCACTCCCCCCCGCAGCTTGCTGCGGAACATCAAAAGTTCAGCCAAAATGGCTTTCGTAGCCCGGCTCTCAGCAGTGCTTCTTCCAGTCTTCATAGTTTTCAGGGCTCCTCCTCATTGGCATTGACATCATCGGACTCCTCATCAGTCACCAGAGCCCATTCTTCGACCAGCGGTTGGTAGGATCTTGGGACTGAGGGAGCAGCAGGAGTAGCGCTCGAGCTTGAGGAGGGCACCACAGCAGTGACACCACGTTGAATGACGCCACCACCTCTATTGTAGCCCACAGACATTGGAGCTGCAGACTTGTTGTACGGGCTTGTCGGACCCGCAATTGGTTCTACCTGGAGTTCTCGGGACTCAGCACTGGACATAGTTCCTGTGCCACTAGCTGCAAGACATCCATCTAGGTACAGCTTCCCGATCAAAAGGCCAGGTTCACGGTGAGGTCTTTGACGCCTCGGAGTATGCATTTCATAGTGGCGTCCCACATGCACCTCGAGGTCATCGTCATTGGTGGACTGCTGTTGAGGCCAAGGCGGCCCAGCAGTCACTGTTGCCGGTTCCAGCTGTATGTTCAGGTTGAGGTCATCCATAGCTTCCATTTTCATCTTGAGGAACGTAAACCCCACCCACTGAAACTCAGCTCGAACCACAGGGTCATTCCATGGGTCGGCGACCAGAAAGCCTGGTCCATTTCTTCCATCCACATAGAACGCCTTTGTGATGCGCTCACCTGTGAGGAATTTGGCATCAACTGGCGCACTTCGGTGCAAGGGGTGGAACCTCTGTTTTCGGCCAGCTCTATGGATTCGCACCAGGTAGATGCTTTGGTCACATTTGGTTACGGACCATCCATCTTTCTTTCCACTCCTGCTCGGGGCGCCAAAACGCTCATCCAACCATGGACCTTGTTGAGGCATTTGGTCAAGTTGAGTTCCTCCTGCCTTTTTCATGGCCTTTTCTGCGGCCAGGCGAGCTGGAGGGAACTTTGGCATAGCCCCTATGTAAGGGTCTTGTCGTGCTCGAGAACCATCCGAGCTGGCAGCAGTTGAGGTACCCTGTAATGCGGCAGCACACTGCAGCATCATCGGCGGCGCCTTTCGGCGTACAGCATCAGCAAGCACCGCAGCGGCTTCGCCTGTCGTTTGCGGCGGCAGCGGCGGCACAGGCTTTGACATCTTTGGGGCCATGGCAGCAAGTCGCACGGCCGGAACCCTTGGGCAGCCCGTTGGGCAGTGGTAAGTATCAGCCAACAGTGGCTGCAACAGTTCAGCATTTTCAGAGTCACCACCAACGGACTCAAAACTGTTGCGCGCCATGCCACAGCTGTTTCCGGCCACAAAATCCCCAAAAACGGGACCTTCTTCGGGGTTACTATCCCAAAAATCCCTTTGACTTTCATAGGTTCGATGAGCCCAAAATTGGTTTTTGAGGGGTTCATCCCAAACCTTCCCAAAACTGTTTTCTCCAGGTGCATCTTCCCTTGGAGATCTCACACATTTTTTGGTTTTTATTTGAGGGTTTATGCCTCCAGGTTCATTTTCCCTTGGAGGTTTTTCTTTGGCCGGTTCATCTCCCCTGGCATCTTTTTCACTTTTAAGGCCAATGGCTCTTGATGGTTCTTCCACCTCCCTCCCGTCCAAACAGATCTCTTTGGATCGATCCTCCGATGAAGGCGCAGGGTGCCAGTTGCAAGCCAGCCATCCAGCGCATGCAGCAGCAGCAGTAGCACAGGCCAGCCGCACATCAGCTCGCCCAGCTGCTGAAGACGCCACAGCCAGCGCAGCCATAGCCACGATCACCTTCACCTTGGTCACCACATCATCAGATCCCTTAGTTTCATCAGGTCCTGAAGTGGCGGTTGTTTTGGAAGACCCTTTGGAGGTTTTTTGAGGTGTATTTTCGGGGTCATATTTGGGGATTGACGCATCAACATGAAACCCAAGGAAATGCCAGAACTTAACCCAATCCCTCAACAACGTGATTGGTTTGGTGAGCATGTCAGCGGGAAGGTCAACTCCCCTTTGGTGTCTGACTTTCCATGTTTGGGGGTCACTTTTCAACAACTCACGCAAGCAAGACGAACGAAGCCTCAAATGGCGTGTTCTCCATCCACCATCAGGGTTCATAAGTATGCTAAGTGCACTTGAATTGTCCCCATAAATAACCTTTTCAAACCCATCAAGACCATCACCCATGTTGCATGAACCATGGATAACCTTCAATAGGGCCTCAGCAGATTTCAACATTGTTGTGGCTTCGCAGTATCCAACCAATTCGGATTCCGCTGTGCTCATGGTGTGAAATGCCTGCCGAGTTGCCTCCCACTGAATTGGAGATCCTGCAGCACATAGAATGATGCCCTGGTGACTGCGGTCACCTTGAGGAGCGAAGCTGATATCGGCGAAGGCCTCAATGCTTCTCATGCCTTGGTACCTGAAGTGTGCCATGTGCACCGTGGTCCTTGTTGCAAGGGCGGTACAGGAGGCAAGTTTCTGGGGTGTTACACAAAAACCCTAGCACGTGTTGTCCCAACTGTTGGACCCACCTTGGTTTTCTAGTAACATTTCTTCCCATGACACTTACAGCATAGGCTATGTCAGGCCTACTTCTCACCGAAAGCCATAGCAGTTCACCTGTGATTGCTTGGGCTGCACGGACATCAGGTGTTGTGATATCCGTTTCATCCATTTCTGAACTGTCCAGTTTTGGCATGGGGCATGACTTTGGGGAAACATGTTCATGACGTTTCAACAACTCAGCAGTGTAAGACTTTTGTCCTACCATCAAACTCACCCCATCATCATGTCGTTTCAACTCAAAACCACAAAACCGGACCCATTCATTTTTGTCAACAGTTTCAACATCGGAACACTTCCATTCTTGTTTTAACCGGTCAAAAAAGGAGTTTCGAACATTGTCATTTGCAAGAGCCATGATGTCGTCCACATAAACAATAACATGACCTTCACATGTTGGTTCGGCATCCCCATGACCATGTTTCATGATTTTCCACAAGTTCCCTTCTTCGGTTCTTTTGAGGGAAAAGTCACAACCATCCATCTTCCAGGTGAACCCACTCATGACCTGATCCCTGTGCACGGCCCAATGTGCCGGGCTTGACGTGAACCCATATAAAGCATTATGAACTCTCCACCGTTCAGAAGGGCTGCAAACTTTGGCTTCCACAAGTATTTTTGGGGGCACAACAATCACTTCCCGGGCATCAAGTGGTTTCGGCCGAGGAGCAAGGAGAAATGCTGTGCGAATGTCGGTAATGCCAGCGCCCCATCCCATCTGCACGGAGTGAGCCAGTGTAGCTCTGATCAGAATGCCATCAGCGCCAGAAGCGTAGAGATTGCCCGGAGCAGGATCCAAGTCACTTTGCAGCAGGTTTCCACAAACTACTGCTCTACATTTCTTTTTTCCACCATTTGGACCCGCTTTTCGAACAGTCACAAGTTTTCCAGGAACAAACTCAACCGCTTCTTGGTTCAACCTGGAAAGGTCAACAGGTTCAATGGCCTTGGTTTCATGGACCAAACTGTTATATTCTTTCATCATCGCATCTTTCCATTCCCCAAGTTCATTTCGGACTTCATTCAAAGGGATTGTGGTGGTTTGTAAAATCTCCCCCGGACCCTGGTTCAACCCTTCATCAGTTTGCAGTCCACACATTTTGACAACCCTTTTGTTTTGGGCATCCCGAACCAAGAAGAGATCGTTTTCCAACCGTTCTTTTTCCCCTTGAAGCCATTGGATATCAGCCCCACAA